AGCAGACTTCCTTCGATGATTGTCATGCCGGTTGCTTCAAAACTATTTAATCGACGGGGCCTGGACCTATGTCACCATGTTCCGTATCAGCGAAAACCTTTTGATCCTGGTCTCGCAAGTTTTAGACATGCACACGATAGATGGTTGAACTTCTTAGTGATTTTACAAGTTAATGTGGGGGCACACACAGGTACTCATCTTTGTTCTTGTCATACTTCCACTCCTGAGACTCATTCATGATTTACTGAGCACTTGCTGTATACTGGACAGCAGACTGAATACTTGGCGCGTGTCTTTCCCTTGCATCCTTCCCCAAACGTTATGATATATGCATACCGTTCTCATTTTACAGACCAGAAAACTGAGGCTTCTATAGGTTGACTCACTTGTCCAGGACAACGCAGAGTCAGTGGCAACCGGGGATTGGCACTCGCGTCCATGGACTCCTTTTCGCTCTGCATACTCGCTCTAGCTTTGTCCGGTGCTAATTATCCCCTTCGTTTTTGCTTCAGATGGTGGTCTTCTTTAGAGGAGGGCAAGTTAAAATTCCAGCTGTGCATTACTTCTGTCACGTGACGGGCAGAGACGCACTTAAGACGGAGTTCAGTTATTTGCATAGTTATTAGTATGCGGCTGAAGTCCCCTCCTTACACTTGCGATTCCTTCCATCACATTTGCCATTCCATTTCGCACAGGGGAAAAGCCGTCTCTCTCTTCTGGGCGAGGCGGACTTTTTGTCTCTGCTTTTGTTGATTGAGACGTCCCAGCCCTGCTTTCCTTGCTACTTTGCTCTCCAGTTATGGTGTTGGCACAAACCATAACTGCAGCATCATGTTACTCTCCTGTGCTAAAAATAACCGCGATCCTGGGTGAGACTTCATATATAATTCATGGTTTTGATTTATTAATCTCTCCATTAAGTCAGAAAATGACATTTTTGCTGGCGGCATTCCAAGCTGCATTCTCTTAGACGTTTAGAATTTGCATTAACTTGAATACCTTCCGTGTGTGTATTTACATGCATGTGTGTGTTTGTGGGTGGAGTAACATCAGAATCATTGCTGTGTATAATTCCTTTAATCTTTCACTTAACCCCTGACTTCAGATTCATAACATGAACGTAATATCAGAAAGAAGCAAGCGTCAAATGGATGTTGATGATAATAAAAATGCAGAAGCCGAATGGAAAAGGATAGTTGTGCCTTTTTGTATAGGCTTAAAGTCAAATCTATATTCGGCGAGCGAGAAAGGGCAACACTTTGAAGCCCATTTACTCATTCAGTGTGTGTTTATAGAGCTCCTCCTAAGTGCTGGGACCCGGTAGGCTGATCAAGAGGATGAAGGTGCTATATTAATAGATCAACTTTTCTACTACCCTCTAAGTCTTTCAAGTAGATTAAAAGCCTGTCCTACTCCTACTCATGCATCAGACTTGGTTTCATTCACCTGAGATTTTAAAAGATACCTCGAGGGGCCACTGGGTGATTCCCTCCGTTGAGCATCTCCTCTCGATTTTGCCTCAGGTCATGATCTCACGGTTCGTGAGTTCGAGCCCAGCATCGGGCTCTATGCTGACAGCTTGGAGCCTGCTTGCGATTCTCTCTCTCCCTCTCTCTGCCCTTTCCCTGCTCACTTGCTGGATCTCTCTCTCTCTCTCTCTCTCTCTCTCTCTCTCTCTCAAAATAAATTTTAAAACATTTAAAAAATAAATAAATTAAAGACACCTCGAAAAAAGTGAACACATTTTAATTGCTTTATGACACATCTCTGAGCGCTAGACCCCGACAGTTATTCCAGCGCCTTCCATGAAACCTTCGCCACTACCACCACTTTTCTTTGGGCGTGGCCAGGCTCTTCAAAGCAGGAAGGGAGGACACAGTGATAACAGATCAGTAAATGAAGGAGGAGACTCACTCATCAGAGAGTCCTGATGTTCTCCCATCTCATTCTACCAACCATCAACTCTTTGGAATTCTGACACCCTGCCATCCCAAGTGCCCTTTGAACAGTGGCCATGTCCCTACAGGGGCAGTCCCGCCTTGGATTGAAAACCATGCCACTTAGATATAGCATTTTACTATGGTTTTACCTGTTATTTATGCAATAATTGCCCTTTTTGCTGCTGAGTTACCAAATTCACTTATTAACTTAGACCAAGCTAATTTTTTTAGGAGCCGTATCCATCATGGGGGTGATGGGTGATGGTGGATCAAGGGCATTAATGAAACCACACGTGAAATCAAAGCCTGGAATATTATTTTCATATTATAATAATGTTTTTAAAAAGTTAGAATCGGCACCTGGCTGGCTCAGTCAGTAGAGCAGGCAGCTCTTGATCTTGGAGTCATGAGTTCAAGTCCCATGTTAAAGGTAGAGTTTACTTAAAAAAAAAAAAAATATATATATATATATATATATATATATACACACACACACATGTATATATGTGTGTGTGTATGCACATACATACATATAGTCAATAGCCAAGAGAAGTGCATTAATAATGCATTTTTTGATCAAATACTGAATATGTGCTTTTGAAATAGTATGTTTGTTCCCACTGGTAGCTATGATTCTCATTTCCTCAGTATCCTTTCCTTTCCCCTCTCCTGTTAACAGCACTTTTCTTTCTTGTGGGGACCCAAGTCTATATGGTTTCTATGGGGCTGACCCTTCCCCATCCCTCTTGCTGCAAACACAAGAGTGAGAGGACCAAGACCTGGCAAATGAAAGTACTGCATACCCTGAGCTAAATAATTAGTTCCAGGAAAAGGTGTGACCTCTTCCAAGCCAGTGAGATTCCCCCTTGGGCTTTTCTTTATTATGGTGGGGGGAAAGCTCTGGGTTTTCTTCTGGGGTTGTCAGGTTTAAGCAGGGCCACCACACGGTACAGCTCAAGCCTTGAACCACCTATGTTTATCTTTTCTATGACATGGGGAGGAACTGGCTGAAAATGAGACTGGCACAGAGGAAAGCCCTGTTTAGAGATCATTGTCATGGACAGGTTCACGTCAGTTGAACCACTGGATTGAAATGGGCTGGAAGTTAGCTGTACTCTTTGAACTGCCTGGTTACATGAGTGTATGAGTTTGTTCTTGCTGCTGTAACAACTAATCATACACTTAGTGGTTTTAGACAACACATATTCATTAGCTCATAATTTGGAGGCCAGAAGTGTCAAACAGGTCTGCAGGGCTACGTTCTTTCTGGGGATTTTAGAGGAGAATCCATTTCCTTGCCTTTTTCACCTTCTAGGGACCGCTCACATGCCTTGGGTCCTCATCGCTTTGACCTCTGCTTCTTCCATCACGTCTTTCTCTTTCTCTGCTTCTGACTCTCCTGCTCGCCTCCCTATTTTCCCTTATAAGGCCCCTACTGATTATACGGAACTTGCCCCAGATAATCCCAGATAATCATCTCCTCTCAAAACCCTTAACTTAGTCACATCAGGAAAGTTCCCTTTGGCATCTAAGGAAGCATATTTTCAGATTCTGGGGATTAGGATATGGACACCTTTGGGAACTTACCATAATGAACCAATTCAGTCCTTTTTAGTTAAATATGGTCTGAGTTGGAATACTGTCATTGGCAATCAAGAGCCTTAAAAAGCACTATATTAAAGAAAATGAAATACTGGGGCAATTTAAGGACATTTATATAGATATTTGGAGCTAGGAAGCATTTTTTTTTTTCCCGGAAAGATGAAAGAATTGTACAGAACATTAAATTATACGTATAACTTTAAAATGGCTCCGGTATTTTCCTGTCCTTTAATCTCTTTATATCTTTTTAGACCATCTTTTTCACTTCTTTTATGCTACCAACTGGGAATTTTCTGTCACATGCTCTTGTTCTCATTCAAGTTCACCTTTAAAATGTCTTGCTTCCTATAGCCTGTTACATGCTACAGAGCCTTTCTGCAATATTTTTTCGTCCTGTTAGCCATTTTTCTTTTTCCTTCTCAACTATCTCTTCTCTCATTTTTCAGAATATTCATCTTTTCCTTTCTTAAATTTCAACAGTTTTCCCTTGTTCACTGTTTCTGTGACTATTTGTTTTCTGTATGTCTTTGAGGGTGGGAAATCGGCTCACAGGTTTTGGTTTGTTTGTCTTTTAAAGAAAATTGTATTCTTCTGTTGTTCTAGAAGATATTTTATGATAATTCTCTTGGCTGGTATCACATAAACATGAATTCCCATTTCACAATAAATGAAGAAACAAATCTTTCTTCTCCAAAATTGTTCTTATTCTTTCCTATTTCTGGGTAAATAATATAGCCCAGATTACTTTCCTGAAAAGCTTTTAAAATCATATTTTTAATCTTTACTTGTGCATATTTCAATTGCATCTTATTTTTTATTGAAATATTATTTTACCAGGCCATTTTGACTTTTTGCTCGTTAGAATACATAAGGCAAGGAAAAGTTTTCCTGAGCCTTTTAGGGTCCTTGACTGGGTCTGAAAAGTAAACTGACAATGACAGGTTATCAGGAGAAAGCACGCATATCAATTTAATGTAGGTTTTACGTGGCACAGGAGACTTGATGAGGAAATGAAGCCTCAAAGAAACAGCTTTGTGTATTGTTGTGCTGAGTTTGATAAAACGAGGGGGCAGATGTGGAGGAATAGGTAGGTTAAGGAGGAGTATAAGGCAAGTATAGGAACTGGGGGAGGCGAGGCCTCTTTGTTGGGATTCTTCTCAGTGTCCCTTTGTCTTTGGAGATCTGTATGCTCCTTTCCTCGGGGTATGCGGGTGGACCCTCGCACCTGAGGTCTCAGGGCCTGTTTCTGGGGAGAAGAGCAAGAAGGGGAGGAGCTCACATTGATCTTCCTGCTCCTGCCGTTCACTCAAGCTCCTTCAGCTCAGAAGAATTTGCCAAGGTGCCATATTTTGGGCAGTGGGTCCTGAGTCCCATCAAATGCATTACACAAGCTCTTTCGTGATGCAGTGGAGTTTAACTACATTATCTCTGGCAATTTAAGCCAACAAATGAAATTTGTTTTCTCATTGTCCTGATGTGTGAGAAATGACTGTTCTAGATTTTATTTTTAGTCACCATTTGACCATCTTCAAAATAAACAAATCATGAAATAGTAAAAATACAAAATGAATTTTTAAATGATCTTATTTATCTGTATGATTCTCTTCATTTAAGCTTTTTTATTTATTTAAGTAATCTCTGCCCCCACCTAGGGCTCGAACTCAACCCCGAGATTGAGAGTCACATGCTTTTCTGACTGAGCCAGCCAGGCCCCCCACCCCGCCGTCGGTATGATTCTATGATTGCTTTCCACTTCTTGTTCTGGTACATTCATGGTTTTTTTTTTTTTTTTCCTTTTTCCTTTATCCATGTAAATTTTTTGTATATCTATTTGGTCCACAGTGTACCATATTGTTACACATATGACATGTAACTACATCCCAGCTTTGCTCACTTGTGAGGTGTCTTTTCTGGGTTTTTTTCTTCTGCTTTGTTTGTTTATGCAATGGACAGTGCAACTATAACCAGTCTTAAATATATTTTTAAGTAATTCCTTGGAATATATTCCTAAAGGTAGTAGACCAGGCCAAACCATATGGTCATAATTAATTATGTCTAGTAGACTTTCAGTGCTGTCAGAATAAATATCCCAGACAGTACATGAGATTTTGATGGAAGGAAGCTTACACAAAGAAGCAAGGAGACGATGTTATTCTTTGTCATATGAATAATATCGGAAGAAGTGTTTATTGTTTTTAAATGAGACTAGGATCTGAGGAATTTGAGGGGAAAAGAAATAAGATGTATCTCCTTGGGAGAATGTTTCTGGTCTTTGTGATTACTTTCTCTCTCTCTCTCTCTCTCTCTCTCCTTCCCTTCCTCCCTCCCTCCGTCCTTTTATTTTAACACTTTATTTTTAAGTAATCTGTCCACCCAACGTGGGGCTTGAACTCACAACCCCGAGATCAAGAGTCGCATGCTCCACCAACTGAGCCAGCCAGACACCCCTACTATCTCTTCTTTAAGTGTCCCCTTTCTCCAGTGTTGTATGCCAGCCCCCCCCCACACACACACCCATGGTGCATCTCTGATACTCTCTTCCTGCCCCCCTGTCCCTCTGTTGGCTCCTTTCCTCACTGCATCCCCTGACTCGGAGTATCCCCCAGTGCTGGCCTCTCCATTCTCTTCCTCATTTACTCCACACTGTGCCTTTATGTTTCACATATTGGGATAATTCTGTAGATCTGAGATCGACTCACAACCCTTCCCTTAGCCTTATTATCATTCCTACAATGTCTTCTCCTCCCCACTGCTGCTACCACTCCCTTTTTGCAAAACCTTATCATTTATCATCTAGGTGATTTAAATTCATTTCTGGATGGTTTCCTTGCTTCCTGGTGGTTTCAATCTTCACTCTTCCCTTGCAAGCTGTGCTTGTCTACACTAGTCACTTAACATTTTTGAGTCTTGATTTATGTACGTAGAGTCATGGATGAATAGCTCATTGCCCCTGACATGTCATATATATTTCGTCTTTTCCCTACTATTCTAGTCTTTCCTTCTTATAACTCATCCCCCATCAGTTTTCCTGTTGTGACAAATAAGCCTGATCATGTCACTCTTAAACTTTTCTAACTTCACTGACTTTCCAGGATGTAGAGGGGAAAGGTCTAAGCTCTGTGAGAACATATCAGACCCTCCATGGCCTGTTCACATTTCACACCGTATCATCTGCCCTCAACTGTTAGACTCCCCATCCGCACCCAGCCTTATCACTCTTCTCGCCATTTCCCCAGCATGCCAAGCCCTTCCAACCTCTGTCTTTGGACATGATGATCTTTTTTTGAAAGACAATTCTACCCCCAATGTGGGGCTCGAACTCACGAACCCAAGATCAACAGTCACTCTACCAACTGAGCAGGCCGGGCGCCCCCATGATGATCTCGTTTTTGCCAAACTTACAAAATTCGCTGTTTTTTTTCAAGATCCATTTTAAAGCAACCCTGTTTAAAGCCTTCACAGATACTTGAACTCTCTCCATGCTCCTGGGACTGTAAATCTTGAGCAAGTAAAGCAATAAGTTCAGAACAAAGGCAGTGAGTAGTGGGTGGCGGAGACCATCTTGTTCTGGTGCCTTCTGCTCAGCCCCCAGACAACCTTTTTCATTTCTTCTTTTCCTTTTCTTTTTTTTTAAGAGAGAGAGGGAGAGAGCACAAGCAGGGGAGAGGAGCAGAGGGAGAGAGAGAATATTAAGCAGGTGCCACACCCAGCATAGAGCCTGACGGGGGCTTGACCCCCTCACCCTGGGATCATGACCTGAGCCAAAATGAAGAGTCAGACTCTCAAACGACTGAGCCACCCACGTGCCCCCAGACCCTTTTTCAATTGGGGTGTCTCACCTAAGCCACAGAAAATGATTTGAGTGACAGTTTTCTCAGTTCTGCCAGAGATGGCACATAACTAGTATCATTTTATTACTTTTTTCTCCTTTTAAGATTTTATTTTTAAGTAACCTCGGCACCCAACATGGGGCTTGAACTCATGACTCCAAGATCAAGAGTCACATGCTCTACTGACTGAGCTGGCCAGGCGCCCCAACCACTACCACTACCATTTTAGATGCATAGGAGAGCAGTGAGGCCATTATACACAATGTGTGCGTTATATGTAATGGTTGAGCTTAATTTTCTCAAGGAACTCAGGTTGGAAAGACTGCTCCGGGGCATTTTTGGATCTGTCATCCTTTTAAGCCTCACCCTCCAAGCTCTCACTGATGGGGTGAGCACCTGGTGTTAGGATAAATTCCCTTGATGCCTAAGATAACTACATTCAGTTTGGGTTGCTAATAAATATGACCCTTTTCTGCTATAGCAGCATCAGAGAATATGTATTTGTTTGTGTTTATTGAATTCGATGGATACACCGTTGGAAGTCCTCCATTTTCTTTTTTCCCTGTACCAAGTCAGTCACCACACACATCACTCTTTATTTTCATTGTCACTCAGAGGCTACCTTTTCTTTTTGTTTCTACTACCACCATCCTTGTCTAGGTGTTTCTCATGTCGACCCGCATTCCCGCGGCCGCCTCCTGATGCCACCATTTACGTCTTTCGCTCCCTCCCCTTCAACGATACTGAACTCATGTCAATTTTTCCCCCAAACAGAAGGCCATAATATCATTTCTCTCCCAAATACTATAGCGCTGGCTTTCACATTATGTTAAAACTCACAGGCCTGGCACTCAGGGTGTCCTATGGATTTTGGCCCCATAAATGGAGTGCAGCTTGCTTCCTTCACTTCACTCTGAGAGGTTTCTCTGCTGTGAAAACTTGTCTGCTTATGGTGTACGACCATCCCTTCATTTCTGCAACCTCTATTAACATTTAAAACATGTATCAGGGGCTCCTGGGTGGCTCAGTCGGTTAAGTGTCCAACTTCGGCTCAGGTCATGATCTCACGGTTCATGGGTCCGAGCCCCTTGTTGGGCTCTGTGCTGACAGCTCAGAGCCTGGAGCCTGCTTCCGATTCTGTGTCTCCCTCTCTCTCTGTGCCTCCCCCACTCATGCTCTGTCTGTCTCTCTCTCAAAAGTAAACACTAAAAAAAATTTTTTTAATCAGATTTGGGACACCTGGGTGTTTCAGTTGGTGGAGCATGTGACTCTTGGTCTCGAGGTTGTGAGTTCAGGCCCCACATTGGGTGTGAAGATTACTTAAAAATAAAATCTTAGGGGCACCTGGGTGGCTCAGTGGGTTGAGCCTCTGACTTCAGCTCAGGACATGATCTCCTTGTTTGTGGGTTTGAATCCCTTGTCGGGCTCTGTGCTGACAGCTTGGAGCCTGGAGCCTGCTTCTGATTCCGTGTCTCCCTCTCTCTTTGTCCCTCCCCCACTCATGCTCTGTCTCTCCCTCTCTCTCAAAAAATAAATAAACATTAAAAACAAAATAAAATCTTTAAAAAATTATCGCATTTTACCAAATGATCTTCCCAATGTCCATGTTCCAACCATTTTGTCTTCTGAGCCTTATAACCTGTATTAATTGCTTCTTTTCTTTCTGATTTGCTTTTTATTTTTCTATTTTACATACATCATTTCATCTGGGTGATTCTTTTATGTTTAAAATTATTTTACTCTTAATATAACACACATACAGTGATTAGGAAAAATAAGCAAAGGATGAATTTTAGAGTGTTCAAAAAATTTTTTTAAATCATTACTGCCTTCTAAAACACCTTAAAACCATGTCAAAATCTACCTCCTTCCCAAAGCCTACTTGACTCTTAGATCTAAATACTCACTCTTTACTAATTTTATTTCTTACATTCCATTATTGCCTTGTCTACATACTAGTAAGTAGAATTATCCACTGGAACTCTCTTCATCAAGAACCATTAATTAACCTGTTAAGTACTTAAGTGGACAGCAAAGAGGAGACTTTTCTGAAAGTGTTCAGAAGTATTCTTACCCCAGTTTCTTTTCTTTCTTGGAACAAATTTCTAAATACAGTAGTCCCCCTTTATTGGTGGTTTTGCTTCCTGTGGTTTCACTTACCCATGGTCAGCCATGGCCTGGAAGCAGATGATCCCCCTGATGAATCATCAAAAGGTCAGTAGTAGCCTTGTGCTGTCACATGCCTATGTAATTCATCTCACTTCATCTTGTCACACAGACATTTTATCTCCTATCATCATAGAAGAAGGGTTGTGTACAGGGCAGTATGATATTTTGAAAGAGAGACTGCATTCACATGACTTTTATTACACTATATTGTTATAATTGTTCCATTTAATTATTGTTGTTAATCTCTTATTGTGCCTAATTGATAAATTCTATCATAGATATGTATGGATAAGAAAAAAAAAACATAGTGTGTGTATACACACACACACACACACACACACACACACATCTCCATAGGTTTGGTACTATCCATGGTTTCAAGCACCTAGTGGAGGTCTTGGAATGTGTCCATCATGGATAAGTGGGATTACTATACTTTTCTGAAAGAAAGAAAAAAAAGAAAGAAAGAAAG